CAGCCGGAGACTGCAGTTAAAACGCGACGGAAACTTGTCGGCGACCAATTACAACCACATGTTTGTGTCTGGGGAGCGATTTCCTTACCTGCAATGCAAGCGTTTCCCCGAGAAGGCGCTGGGAGCGGCCGAGGCGATGGGTTGAGGGAGTTTTGCTGCCTTTAAGCCTATTCTTGGTTTTTACGGCGAAGACGTTGCAATAGCCTCAGCAGGGAATTTGGGAGAGAGCGAGCGCGGCAATATTTTTCGGTGGATTAAAAGATCTAACTGCATGGTGTGCGTTACAAAAATCCCTCTTGGACTGGACCTCTGTTTGGGTACTTTCCTTTCTCGCGTCCCGGAGAGCGTTCCCTGGCTGCGGGGCTGCCAGCGTCTCCCGTTCCCGCGGAAATCACGGAATTGGTCGGAATGTTTCTCCGTGGCGCTGGAGAAATACCGTGGGGGTTTGGAGAGTCGTCGTGAAAACCGTCCTGCCGCCATCCCTTCTGCTCGAGTTAATCATTTGCCAAGGAATAACTTAACAAAGCAGCTCATAATTACAGGTGAAAACAAATTATCAGAAAATTAATTAACGACAATTACTGGTTTTGTTTCTCTGAAGGAGGAAGTTTGCAGGTTAAACCCCTGCCAGGCTTTCCGGGGCCGGCGGCTGATTGTGATGGGCGTTGGGGCAGGTTAGGGCTGCGATGGGCGTTGGGGCAGGTTGGGGCAGGTTTGGACTGTGACGGGCATTGAGACAGATTTGGACCGCGATGGGCGTTGGGGTAGGTTTGGGCCGTGATGGGCGTTGGGGTAGGTTTAGGCTGCGATGGATGTTGGGGCAGGTTTGGACCATGATGGGCGTTGGGGCCGGTTTGGACTGTGATGGGTGTTGGGTAGGTTTAGGTTGTGATGGGTGTTGGGGCAGATTTGGACCGCGATGGGCGTTGGGTAGGTTTGGGCTGCGATGGGTGTTGGGGCAGGTTTGGACTACGATGGGCGTTGGGTAGGTTTAGGTTGCGATGGGTGTTGGGGCAGGTTTGGACTACGATGGGCGTTGGGTAGGTTTAGGTTGCGATGGGTGTTGGGGCAGGTTTGGACTACGATGGGCGTTGGGTAGGTTTAGGTTGCGATGGGTGTTGGGGCAGGTTTGGACTACGATGGGCGTTGGGTAGGTTTAGGTTGCGATGGGTGTTGGGGCAGGTTTGGACTACGATGGGCGTTGGGTAGGTTTAGGTTGCGATGGGTGTTGGGGCAGGTTTGGACTACGATGGGCGTTGGGTAGGTTTAGGTTGCGATGGGTGTTGGGGCAGGTTTGGACTACGATGGGCGTTGGGTAGGTTTAGGTTGCGATGGGTGTTGGGGCAGGTTTGGACTACGATGGGCGTTGGGTAGGTTTAGGTTGCGATGGGTGTTGGGGCAGGTTTGGACTACGATGGGCGTTGGGTAGGTTTAGGTTGCGATGGGTGTTGGGGCAGGTTTGGACTACGATGGGCGTTGGGTAGGTTTAGGTTGCGATGGGTGTTGGGGCAGGTTTGGACTACGATGGGCGTTGGGTAGGTTTAGGTTGCGATGGGTGTTGGGGCAGGTTTGGACTACGATGGGCGTTGGGTAGGTTTAGGTTGCGATGGGTGTTGGGGCAGGTTTGGACTACGATGGGCGTTGGGTAGGTTTAGGTTGCGATGGGTGTTGGGGCAGGTTTGGAGCACGATGGGCGTTGGGTAGGTTTAGGTTGCCATGGGTGTTGGGCAGGTTTGGACCTCAATGTGCATTGGGGCAGGTTAGGGCAGGTTTGGGCCGCGATGGGCGTTGGGGTAGGTTTGGACCATGATGGGCATTGGGTAGGTTTAGGCTGCGATGGATGTTGGGGCACGTTTGGATTGCAATGGGCGTTGGGGCAAGTTTGGGCCACAGTGGGCATTGGGGCAGGTTTGGACC